GGATCTCCAAATTTTGTCATGGGAGGGCGTGGGGTGTAGGGTTTCAGGCACCAATCCCTGCCCCCTGGGGACTCAAGGACATAAAAGGTCCCGGATCTCCTCGGGCAGGGAAGGTGTGGTCTTTCCGCCCCCAGGCCCCGCATTGCTCCTTGTCTGCGCAGACAATAAATTTCCACTTTCTGTTTCCCTTACAATTGGCGTCCATCTTATTTCAATCGGCTAATAAGACAAGGCAAGAACTCCAGGAATTCAGTTACAATAAGAAGCCGTGGTGACACAGTGGTTAAACGTTGTCGTAGGGGAAAAAACATCACAAAGTTTGGTAAAGCAAAAAGAAAGTTTTATTCGGCATATATTCAAAAGGGCAGAAGTGGGAAGCGGACAAGCGTGCTGCCAGAGCTAGAACGTCTGCCTGAATCTAAGGAAGGTTAGGGGCTCATCGGTATATATTAACATCACAAAATGGGTAGAATCATTGAAAGGTCACCTTTTCACAGATTGGCTGGACATTGTGATCTTAATTTTGAATTGTCTTTCTTAACAGTCATTGTACAGGTTTCAGTAAAGACAGTCAGGAGGGTCTTCGTTGGTCCAACAAATTTCCGTTCACTAAATGCTAATAGAAAAAGACAAAAGTGGGAAGTCTTTTGTGTTCTGTTTCATTACCCTTTTGTGAAAACTTCCTTAAACGATAATTTCTAAGATTGTCCCATCTATTGTCTTTATCTCAGGGCCCAGTTGATGTGTCCTTGTGAGTCCTTGAGGGCCCAGCTCCAGCTGGGTCGTATTTCTCTATGCTCAAGGTCAGAGAATAACGATTTCAAGTATTATTTTCTAAATCAACACTCAACTGCTAACCCAAAGGTTGGCAATTCAAACCCACCAGCTGTTCCATGGGAAAAAAGATGTGGCAATCTGCTTCCTGAAAGATTACAGCCTTGGAAACACTATGGGGCGGTTCTCATCTGTCCTATAGGGTGGCTAAGAGTCAGACTTGACTGGAAGGCAAAGGGTTTCATCGTGGTTTGTTATCTACCCTGAAGGGGATCACCTTCCATCATCTGTCAGTGCACGCCTACCCTACCTACCCTGAAGGAAGCAAGGTTAACAACTTGTCTGTCACATTTTTCTCCACGCACATAAAAACCTGTACAAGCATAATTACACAGAAGTGGTCCGTCAGTATGCAGCCTCCAATATACTATCAACTCTAGCTTCAGATAATAATCACTATGCCCATAGTGTCAACCCGAGGTAGTCCTCACCGTGGATCTAGCGCACATATTTTCTTAATATATAATAGAGAGTTGGCCATTTAACAACAAGATTCCCCTGCACCAGCATTAGAGTCATTGGATGACCTCAATCCAGGGGCTCTCAATCTTTGCTGGGCATTAGAATCACTCAGGGAGGTTTCTTTTCTTTTTTTTTATTGTACTTTAGATGAAGGTTTACAGAACAAATAGTTTCTCATTAAACAGTCAGTACACATATTGTTTTATCACACTGGTTAACAACCTCACGACATGTCAAGACTCTCCCTTCTCGACCTTGGAGGACCTTTTATTTTGGTGAAAATGTACATAGCCGAAGCTACACTATTTCACAAATTTCTACATGTATGATTCAGTGACACTGATTACATTCTTCCCACTGTGCTGCTATTCTCACTATCCTTTTCCAAATTACTCCATCACTATTATCTTCAACTCACTGCCCCCTAGTCTTCCCATCAAAACTTTTGACTTGCTGTCGTCAATTTGATCTCACAGATAATTCTTTTTACACTTGGGAAGTTTTTAAACTTTTCAGTAAACAGGCTACACTCTTGGTCAATTAATCAGACTCTCAAGAGGAAGGAAATTTCAAGCATTGGTATTTCTTAAAAGCTCCCAGTATTAGTTCAATCTGTAGTCAGGTTGAGGACCATTTCCACTGCTTAAATTGCTTAGCCTGGCCATCCCAATAATCTCTTAAAAGGCTGGGTTGTTGGCCAAGTTTATAGCAATCAAAAGCTAAAAATTTTAATTACCTCTCTTCTAATTCTGACCCACCCTGACCAGACCTGACCTGACTTGACCTGCATGAAACAAACTAATTTTGTCAACATTGTAGAAAGAGCCATCCCAGTTGAGGATGTTTCTAGTACTTTTGCCTCTGTGCCTATTTGCTCGGGAGCTTAATATTGATGTCAGGTATACAGACATTGCTAACACTCGGGCTGGGATGATAAGAATCGCCTGGGGAGACTGTGAAATTTACAGATTCTCTAGCCTTACACCTCTGTCATTCCGATTCTGTAGATCTGAGATGGGATCCAGGAATCTGTACTTTTAACAAATTATTCAGGTATATCTCATATGAAGCCAGGTTTGGATACTGCATCACTTTTCATTGAGGGAAGAAGAGTTGTCCAAAATTAGTATAAGATATGGCCATGCTCCTGTAGGACAGAGTAGAAGTGCCCCATAGGGTTTCCAAAGCTGCAATCTTTACGGAAGCATGTACTCTCTTGTAGCTTAGCTGGTGGGTTCGAATCACCAACCTTTCGGTTAACAGTCAAGTGCTTAACCACTGTGCCACCAAGGCTCCTTTTATTTACACTAGTGTGTGTGTGTGTGTGTGTGTGTGTGAGAGAGAGAGAGAGAGAGAGAACAAAATTCCTGGGGAATTGCCATGTCTATCCGACGTGCTTTCTGACATGTCTATCTGGAGGAACTTTGGATATGCTCGTTCAGTGCAGATGCTGCCGGAGATAACTTGATAAGGACAGCAGGACACCTGTGAGCAGTTAGACCTGATCAAAATCCAAAGCCACGCTGAGGTTGGAAACAGAAATTTTCCCTTTTAATGAGCGTGAAGGTCAATGTGTATATGTGGTAAACATTAAAAGATACAAGACATCAGGAAAAAAATGTAACCTCTTCATAGGAACAAAATAACAAGCAAAGAGATTTGAATTATTAATGGTAGATAATTTCTTGGTTAGAAATGGAGGAATAAAAGAAGAAGTTCTCTTTCCCACGGGAATAAGAAGAAATTCAACTGTGTGGGAGTCGTGTACTGAGTTTTTCACCTTCAGTGAGTAAGTGTATCTTTGTGAGAGAGATCATGAGGTAAACTGAAGAAAAATGAAAAAATGAAGTTGCTTTATAAACCTGTATATATGTGACTTACATTTCAAGTCACATGTGAGAACTCTTAATCCCTTTTCAATAAATCTGTAGTAAAAATAATTATCCAGAAAATCTGTGCTTAAATATATTTTGCTTAATAATTTTTCACACTGAACTTTATTCCTTTGTTCTCAAGTTTCTGTTGTTGCATATATAAAATGTTGACGAATTCACGAGTTGAAATCCTTAGAAAATTACGGCTACCAGGTGCTCTGTATGGGGATGGTGTTTCAAAGTATCAGCAAAGTAGTCTGAAATACAACTAGTCTTGAACTCAGATCTTATCAGCTTTGCCAATAAATTCTAAATCTCTGGTTCTGGCAAAACCAGTATCACTGTTTTTATCATTTCTTTTTAGGTTAAGTTTTTTTTAAACCATTCTTTTGGTCTGTATGTAGCTATGCGATTATATAAGGAGAAAATACCAACCATGTTTTTTTTTCCCACATTCTGAAAACAGCCATTTTGTTCTAGAAAAACTCTTGAACACTAAACTGGCAATGATTTCTACCGAGCGCGCAGGGACACTGACAAACTGTTTAAAGAAACTTTTTAAAAATGAAAGACTTCTTAATGACTAAACATTTTATTAGGTTTTTATATTTTTTGAAGGAGATAAAACATCACCTGTAAGACAAGAAGCTTTAAAATAATAGTAAAAAAATAATAAAACCTAAATATCAAATCAATAACCTTAGCATTATTAATTTAAATAAATGATGAAATTTTAAATGCTAAATGCTTGGTCTACTTCACTTAGATTACAAATTACCTAAATTTTAAAAGATTAGTAAAAAAATATGTTTTTCTAAGGAGCTGGGGAGAAGTTACTTTACATGTGCAGGCTGATACTTAGCTGTGCTAAAATACTAAAATATTTCTAAATCAGTTGGTCCAGCACTGCAGACAGCCCAGTCACAGGGTCTGTCTTAGTCATCTAGTGCTGCGCTAACAGAAATACCACGAGTGGATGGCTTTAACAAAGAGAAATTTATTCTCTCACAGTCTAGTAGGCCCGAAGTCCAAATTCAGGGCATCAGCTCCAGGGAAAGGCTTTCTCTGGAGGAAGGTCTGTGTCATCAATCTCCCCTTGGTCTGGAGCATCTCAGCACAGGAACCTCAGGTCCAAAGGACGTGCTCTGCTCCCAGTGCTGCTTTCTTGGTGGTATAAGGTCCCCAGTTCTCTGCTTGCTTCCCTTTCCCTTTATCTCTTGGAAGGTAAAAGGTGGTGCAGGCCACACCCTCGGGAAACTCCCTTTACATTGGATCAGGGATGTGACCTGGGTAAGCGTGGTGTTACACTCCCACCCTAATCCTCTTTAACGTGAAATTACAATCACAAAATGGAGGACAACTGCATAATACTGGGAATCATGGCCTAGCCAAATTGATACACATATTTTTTGGGGGACATATTTCAATCCATGACAGGGTCCTTACCTCGAGATCCCCGAAATCTCCACACAACGCAGCAACTATCCCCACAGGGCCCTTTTGGGCCTCATTCCAGGGCTGCGGCCTGTGTCCGTTCTGGTTTTTAAATATGTTAACACTACTCCTGTCACACGTGTATAGGTAATAACACATAGAGAAAATAGTGCTGGATATGGAAGAGAAGCAATTCAGTGAAATGCTGCTGACAGAGAATAGTGGGAATGCAGAACTGCTAGTCTGCATGCCCTCAGGGATAATTTTAAAACTGAGTAATAAGAGCATCAGATTAAGAGGCATCAGCTAAAGAAGGGGAGAATGTTCTCTGAAGCACATTTGTTTGCCTGATAGTTTAAATACAAAGTCACTTTTTAGTCTGGTTTTGGCCCTAGTACTGCAGCTTCCTCCTTCCTAACATGGTCTTAATCACAAGTCCCTTATTTCTTGGTGAATTTGGAAAGAAAAAATTAATTCAAATCTTCAGTCTTTACCAAGTCAGCTGTCTTCTCACAAATCCAAGAAATTTCAGCACTGCAGCGGGAAACATAAATACTGCCTTTTTGAAAGTAAGCACATCCTTTGGATCCATTGATCGGGGTAAGATGTTTAGTACTAAGTCTGAAAATGAACAATTTTAAATTAATTATAAACTCCATATTTGAAATTTGATCGCAATTAAGTGTTCTCAGTTGCTCTACCAGCCAAAAATCATGTTAACTTAATGCTGAGAGACTTCCATGTCCACAGTACATCTAAATCCTTAAAGCTAGCATACTCGAGTTCCTTGTTTTAAGTTAATCATGATCCCAGGTAGACTTCTTAAGAATACTTAAATTCTGGTCTGCGAATTTGTATTCCCGTAGAACCTCTCCAACTCAGATTATGTTAGAACTCCTAGAATTGCTTTAATTTGGAACTTTATAAAGAAAAACAGAAACATTAAATCATATTCTACGTAAAACGTGCATTTACCTATGGACAAATATAATTTTGTATATATTTATACATATGTGCAAGTGAAGAGAACACAAGACAAAAGTTGAGAGAAAAGATGAATGTCTACATAGAAGTGGTTCTGAAATCAATCCCCAGATCTGCTACTAAAAACTAGCAATAACTCTCAATAATATCATTAGAAAACTGTGCTTTTTTTTATCTTCCAGTTGCCTTCAAGTTGATTCTAATTCACGGAGACCCCATATGTTTTCAATGGCTGTAATCTTTCAGAGCTTCTGAGGTGCCTCTGGGTTTGTTGGAACCTTCAGCCTTTCAGTTAGTAGCCCAGCCCGTAGCGATTTACAATAGCAAGAGACTTCATAGTAGCATACCATTCAGGTCTAAAATCCTCTTCTGTCAGCTGAACATTGTTTTCGTTACTAAATCTTAATTTTAGTGTATGTACTTGCTCAAAGTAGCCTTTACTCAATAGCCAAGGAAATGGTTACATAACCCTGAAGCTCCATCTCCCTAACCTGAGAAGGCCCTGTTGACTCCTCTGGTAGCTATGCTATCTCAGAGGGCTCAGTGTCTGCAGGCTCTGAACCCTGCTCTGGAGGTCACTTTCCCCATTCTTTAATTAGGAGTTGTGGGGGAAGGGAGGGTGATAGGGATGATTAAACCTCTTTGAGGGAAGAGACACATCTTAGATTTCAAAGTGAAAATGGAAATACATTTACATAGCTTCATGGTACTACTCCTGTAAGCCCTCAGTCTAGCAGCAGTACCTGAGATTTATTTTTAATCAGTCCACGCCCAACTTTGCACCAGTTGCAAAGAAGTAATTTTGTTCTTCATCTATTGCTCTGCATGTGTTTTTTGCCATTTTTATATGTGTGAAACCAGACTAGTAGATTTAATATGACTAGTTGTGGTGATTAGAGAATGAGGAGATTGATGTTTGTCTGAATAGGAATAGCCATGATAAACCTTTGGAAAATGGATGAAGATAAAGTGTATCCAGGGAGAAAAGTATAACCATATCATTCTTTGTTATTTAAGGAATTTGGCAAGTCATAGCTACAGTCCAGTATCTTTGACAGAAAATGAGTGATTACAATTCAGTTTAATAAAACTATGAAAACATGCATTAAAGATTGAAACAGGAGTTAGTTGGATGAATGAAGTCCTTGCTGGGGGTTGGAGTGGAGAAAATCTACTATACCCAGAAAAATGCAAATGATCTTAACTTTCATTTCACATGCTAATACTGTATATTGTATTAATAAAATATATAAATGTGGTTTTATTATTTTAATATGGTTGTAATTAGGGTTGGGAGTATAGAACAATGTTCTTCAAAATTTTTGTTTTGTAGTGTTCGTAAGAATTTTGTAAAACTAACAGCTGCAAGCATCTATTAATGATTAGAATGTGGAGTGTAGGACGTATAAACCTAGGAAAATTGGAAGTCATAAAAAATGAAATGGAATGCATAAAGATCTATATCTTTGGCATTAGTGAGTTGAAATGGACCAGTTTTGACCATTTTGAATCAGACAATCATATGGTCTACGATGCCAGGAATCACAAGTTAAAGAGGAATGACATCACAGCCATCATCAAAAAGAATATTTCAAGATATATCCTGAAGTACAGCACTGTCAGTGATATGATAATATCCATGTGCCTATAAGGAAGTCAGGTTAATAGCACTATTATTCAAATTTACACTAATGCTAAAGATAAAGAAGTTGAAAAATTTTACCAACTTCTGCAGTCTGAAATTGATCAAATATACAATCAAGATGAATTGATAATTACTGGTGAATAGAGTTCGGAAGTTGGAAACAAAGAAGGATCCAAACCAAATCAAAACCTGTTTCCGTTGAGTTGATTCTGACTCATAGTGACCCTATATCAGTAGTTGGAAAATATTGCTTTGGTGATAGAAAGGCTGCCTGAGATTTCATGATGAATTTTATAAGACCCACAACTTATTCATTGCAAATACCTTTTTCCAAAAACGTAAACTGGGATTATACACTTGGACCTCACTGGATGGAAAACAGAAATCAAATCGACTACATCTGTGGAAACAGACAATGGAAAAGCTCAATATCGTCAGTCAGAACAAGGCCAGTGGTCAACTGTGGGACAAATCACCAAGTGTTCATATGCAAGTTCAAGTTGAAGCTGAAGAAAATTAAATCAAGTCCACAGGAGCCAAAATATGGCCTTGAGTATATCCCACCTGAATTTGGAGATCATCTCAATAATAGATTTGTTGCATTGAACACTAATGACCAGAAGAATTGTGGGATGACATCAAGGATATCATACATGAAGAAAACAAAAGGTCATTAAAAAGAGAGGAAAGAAAGAAAAGACCAAAATGGATGTCAGAAGAGACTATGAAACTTGCTCTTGAATGTCGAGTAGCTAAAATGAAAGGAAGAAATGATGAAGTAAAAGAGCTGAACAGAAGATTTCAAAGAGCAACTCAAGAAGATAAAGTTTTATAATGAAATGTACAAAAACTTGGAGTTAGAAAAGCAAAAGGGAAGAATATGCTTGGCATTTCTCAGGATGAAAGAACTGAAGAAAAAAATCAAGCCTCGAGTTGCAATTTTGAAGGTTTCCATGGGCAAAATGTTGAATGATGCAGGAATCATCAAAAGAAGAAGGAAGGAATACACAGAGTCAATGTACCAAAAAGAACTGGCCAAAGTTCAACCATTTCAGGAAGTAGCATATGATCAAGTATTGATGGTATTGAAGGAAGAAGTCCAAGCTGCCCTGAAGTCACTTGTGAGAAACAAGGCTCCAGGAATTGACAAAATTCTAAATGAGATATTTCAACAAAGGGATGCAGGGCTGGAAGTGCTCACTTGTCTATGCCAAGAAATTTGGAAGACAGCTACCTGGCCAATCGACTGGAAGAGATCCATATTTGTACCCATTCCAAAGAAAGGTGATCCAACCGATGTGAAAATTATTGAACAATATCATTAATATCACACACAAGTAAAATTTTGCTGAAGATCATTCAAAAGTGGTTGCAGCAGTGCATTGATAGGGAACTGACAGAAATTCAAGCCAGATTCAGAAGAGGACACGGAACAAGGGATGTCATTGCTGATGTTAGATAGATTGTGCCTGAAAGCAGAGAACACCAAAAAGAAGTTTACCTGTGTTTTATTGACTATGCAAAGGCATTCTACTGTGTGGATCATAACAAATTATGAATAGTATTTTAGAGAATGGAAATTCCAGAACACTTAATTGTGCTCATTCGGAACCTGTACATAGACCAAGAGGCAGTCGTTCAAACAGAAAGAGGGGATGCTGCATGGTTTAAAATCAGGATACTTTCACCATACTTATTCAATATGCATGCTGAGCAAATAGTCTGCGAAGCTGGACTATATGAAGAAGAATATGGCATCCGGATTAGAAGAAGACTCATTAACAACCTCTGTTATGCAGATGACAAAACCTTGCTGGCTGAAAGTGAAGAGGACTTGAAGCACTTACTGATGAAGATCAAAGACTACAGCCTTCAGTATGGATTACACCTCAACATAAAAAAAATGAAAATCCTCACAACTGGACCAATAAGCAACATCGTGATAAAGAAAAGATTGAAGTTGTCAAGGATTTCATTTTACTTGGATCCATAATCAACACCCATGGAAGCAACAGTCAAGAACTCAAATGATGCATTGCACTGGGTAAATTTGCTACAAAAGATCTCTTTAAACTGTTAAAAAGCAAAGATGTCATCTTGAAGACTAAGGTGCTCTTGACCCAAGCTATGGTGTTCAGTCACCTCATATGCATGCAAAAGATGGACCATGAATAAGGAAGACCGAAGAAGAATCGATGCCTTTGAATTATGGTGTTGGCGAAGAATATTGAATATACCATGGACTGCCAACGAGCAAACAAATCTGTCTTGGAAGAAGTACAGTCAGAGTGCTCCTTGGAAGCGAGGATGGCGAGACTTGGTCTCATGTACGTTGGACGTGTTATCAGGAAGAACCAATCCTTGGAAAAGTACATCATTCTTGGTAAGGTAGAAGGTCATCGAGAAAGAGGAAGACCTTCGACAAGACTGATTGCCACAGTGGCTGGAACAATGAGCTCAAACACTGAAATGATAGTGAGGATGGCGCCGGACTGGGCGGTGTTTTGTTCTGTTGTATGTGGGATCAGTATGAGTTGGAACCGACTTGAAGACACTCAACATCAACATGTGCCCATTACATAGTTTTTAAGTTCACACAGTTTTTTTAATTAACTTTTAATAGTTGTAGAAAAGCGATTTTCAGAGTATTACATCTATGTGTAGTTTAAGTATTTTCATCAAAACCTTGCAATGACAGATTTAGCTCATTTTAATTCATGAAAAATATTTGTCATATAACTTAATAAGCAAGTTCTCATCATGAAACTAATTGTTAAACTAATCAGTCAATTCAGACTTACTTTCTGTTAGAAAATGGCTAAGAACTTCTCAATTTACATAAATGTAGATTTCTCATCCATGCAGTCCTTTCTACTGTGTTCCTGTGACAACCACCTCACTTCTGGATTCTAAGCGCTGGAGAGCCAGAATAGCCAAGTGATTGAATGTGTAGTCTCTAAACAGTCCTGATTTTGCCACTTATAGCTGAGTCACCTCAGGCAAGTTATGTAATCTCTCAGGGACTCAATTTTCTCATCTATCAAATGAGAATATAATAGTGCTTACCTTACAGGTTTAATATTTCTAAAGAAATTTGAAAATAGTATTATACGTGTTTGCTAATTAAATACATTTAACTAATAGATTAGTTCCAGTGCCTTGCCATGAGTTTCTTACACAGATGAAGTCAAGTACCATCCTTTCAATATTTGTTACTGCAGCTTTCTTTCCTTTGTAGGTCTGTACCTCTTTTTTATATCTAAATTTATAATGTTTCTTATAATTAACATTTATTTTGTTGGGTTTCTATGGAAAGCTTGATTTTCTCCCAATAGTTAGAGACTTACAAGGATGCAGAAGGAGCAGAGCCATCCTCCCATAGCCAGCTTCTGCCAGACGGGTCCCATGATAATCCCAGCCAGAAGAAAGAAAACTTGGGTAACAGCTGTGATTTAAGAAAATTCTGACAGAGAAAACATTTTTATGTGAGAGTCACATTTCATGTTGCAGAGGCAAGATAGATGGGGGCATTCATTAAGTTCATTTATTAAATCTCATTTCAAAATGCACTGAATTCCTACCATGCAAATCAGAAATTCTACTTATTTACTTTTCATTTATATGGATCATTTCTATAATCAGGGAAGGAGATCCAACTATACCTTTTCTTCCAAGCTGTCTATCTTCAGCAAGGTAGAGTTCTTGTCCATGCAGTCCTTTCTACTGTTAACCCAGGTTTTCTCTTCATTGGTTGTAAAATAATAGCAGCTGTTTTGGTACCATTGCCACATCTTAGGACAAGGATTACATTTGTGGTCTGAGAAAGAAATTATACCTAATAGTATAAACTCAGTGATGCTGGAGTGACTGGGGAAAGTCCTGAAGCTAAATTGTTTAACTGGGCAATAAGGTCGTACAGCCAGCACCCTGCAGACATACCACTGTAGGGGCTCCTTTAAAGAAAGTCCCCCTTGTTATGGCCTGGGTTAGGGCAAGGTGGATCCAAATTTACTTTTCTGGGCTTAGTCTTCTGGACTCAGAATTACCAGGATCATCTATTAATAGTCAATAAAATGAGGAACTGAAGTATCCAGATTGGTATCATTCCAACATTCTTCCCAAATTTCCCTCTCTGTGTTTTTCAAAAATATTAAATGAACTTGAATATTCCCCTTCTCTTCTGTAAAATCAGTGGGACATCATTAAGGGTCATTGGCTAACATAACTCACTTATACTCGGAGGAGAAGCACATGGTCACCTGACACAGGGCAACATTTATGTACGGCTGGCCAGCAGGTCCATGTCTGTTTACCTGAATTGTGAGTGATAAGCTGTTGGCAGAGTCTGATGGCCATTTGACCCTGCTTCCTCAATAGGCTGGAGATCTGTGACTTGAGAAATTCTTCCTCTGTGGAGAAGTTCCTGTAGATGCCCGGTTGTTGGGATGAGTTATTCTGCTGTTGGTAAACAGTTTTCTGAAGTTGACTCAATTTCTCTGAATCTGAGTTAATTTCATTAGATATCTGCAAATCTCCAAGATACAACAGGAAACATTTTTATGATAGCTACAGATAATTGTCTTGACACAAAAACATTTCTTAAATTATTCAATATTTATTATTGACTCCTAATAAATGTGCTATCAGAAAAGAAACACACCAGATAACTTTCTGTTACCAATTGTTTAAAGCTCACCTTTATAATTTTACTCATAATTTAATTAAGAGCCTCTTACATTAAAATAACGAATTAATAATTTTATGTATCTAATATTTTAGGCAATGATATTATTTCCATTCATTTTGGAAAAATGCTTTTTCTGTTTGAAATTGGTTGAAGTAATTTTGGTTGTTTTAACAGGAACAGAATCTTTAGGACAATGGGTATTCCAAAGTATGGCCTGCAGACTAGACTACATACATCAGAATCTCATGGGGTAATTACACAGAAGGGAATACGACGCAATGATACAGAACAATGATGAATCCAAGAATCATCTCGTAGCAAGGATGAATCTGGAGGGCATTATGCTGAATGAAATAAGTCAATCACAAAAGGACAAATATTATATGAGACCATTATTAAAAAACTCAAGAAATGGTTTACACACAGAAAAAGAAATAAAAAAAATTGATGATTATGAGGGACGGCAGGGTTAGGGATGGGGAATCACTAACTAGGTGGTGGACAAGTGTCAACTTTGGTGAAGGGAAAGACAGCACACACTGTAGGGGAATTCAGCACAGCTTGACAAAGGCAAAGTCATAGAAGCTTCCTAGACACACACAAACACCTTGAGGAATCGAGTTGCTAGGGTTGAGTGCTGAGAACTATGGTCTTGGGAAATATATAGGTCAATTGGCATAACATATTTCATAAAAAAAAATTTCTATTTTCTACATCCTACTTTGGTGAGTAGCGTCTGGGGTCTTAAATGCTTGTGAGCAGCCATCTAAGATACATCTATCGGTTCCATCCCATCTGGAGCAAAAGAGAATGAAGAAAACCAAAGACAAAAGGAAAATGTTAGCCCAAAGGACTAAAGGACCACGTGAACTGCAGCCTCCAGCAGCCTGAGCCCAGACTATCTTGGTGGTGCCTGGCACTGTCACCAACCACTCTGACAGGGTTCACAATAGAAGGTCCCAGACAGAGTGGGAGAAAATGTAGAACAGAATTCAAATTCACACACACACACACAAAGACCAGACTTACTGACAGAGACTGGAGGAACCCCCCTACCGTGGCCCCCAGACACCCTGCGAACTCAGAACGAAGCCAGTCTGGAAGCCCGCTTTTCATACATAGATTAGATAGGCCTATAAAACAAACGGTAACGTATGTGAGGAACGTTCTTCTTCATTCAGTCAAGGATACGAGACCAAATGGGCAACTCCTGCCCAAAGGCAAGACAAGAAGGCAGGAAGGGACAGGAAAACTAGACAAACGGATGTGGAGAAACTGAGGTGGAAAGGCGGAGAGTGCTGACACATTACGAGGATTGCAACCAATGTCACAAAACAATTTGTGTATAAATTTCTGAATGAGAAACTAATTTGTGCTATAAACTTTCACCTAACAATAAAACTAAAAAAAACAAATCCCCTTGGGTGCTACTTAAAAAACAAAAACAAGCAGATTTTAATGCCAGATCATTTCTGGTCCTGGGTCCATAAAAACCTACATTTTTAATAAGCACTTCAGGTGATTCATCAGCACAATAAATATAAGAACTAAAAGCATTGCACTTCAGAAAAAAAGAAGTTTGAGAAGTACCCTTCAGTGGTGACCGAATAAACACATTTCATCTTCATTCATTTTTCTAAGTATGCATCAGTATAGGAGGTCAACTGCTAATCCTCATAATTCTTGGCTATTTAACATCTGTTACTGCTCCTAGAATAGCATATTATTTTCTTAAAATACCAAGCCATGGTATTGACCTCTGTATCAATGTCCAAACAGGCATGCCAAAATCCTGATTCTCTATGAGTTCTTACAGATAAGAAAAAAAAAGCAAATACATCAGAGGAGATACCAGTTTTATTCAGCAAATAAACTCTCCTGACTGCAAGTCCCCTGAAAGCTAGGGCTGTGTCATTTTACTGTTCTGTGAGTTGCTCAATGATATTCTATAAAATGTGAATTCTCAGGATATTTTTTCGCTCACTGTTAGTCCAGGACTCCCTACCCTGTCCACCCAAAACTGCGCAGTGATAAAGGGAATTTGGCCACAGTGCTAGCGAGTGGGGCTTCCCCTGTTATGTGGAGATGGTTCAACTCTGTCTACTGAGTGATGTTTATCAAGCCATTCCTCCTCCTTGTTTGTATCCCTTCCCCTTTCATTGCAGTCAGGCTGTTGCTCCTGCTTAGGAGTTTTCTCTGCACTAGAAAGGTCTTGGGTAAGCAGATTAAATGAGTCTGGTGCTAACATTAAAGTTAAATGCAATGGTGTGTCCTTCCTTGAACACATCTTCCCAGACTCTCTGTTCCTCATCATTGAAATAATAAGTGGACGTGTGTCTAGGCAGAAGAGAGCCTCCTTATTTCAACCAATAACCAGAAAAATAAGAATCTTCTTCATAGTCTAACCTAGCTTGTCAAAAGAAAACAATGGATTTTGGAAAAAATTCTGGCAATAATGAAATGTGCTCGTTGCTGGGTTTGAACTGTATTTATCTCAGAGACCTAGAGAACGGGGAATACATAGGATAGCAAAAAGAACTAGAGGGTTCAAGATTCTAGCACCTACAATATATTATAATCTGAATTAACATAGTTTACAAATACGCTTCCCAATCACCTCTCTTGGGTTTTCTGCAAATATACTTACACATAATCCCCAGCGTCACCAGCCCAATCAGCAGCATCAGACAAAGAGCTAACAAACTCAGGAAAGCCTGATGCCATACGGGTAACGGGGCCGGACGACCTGAAGAAACCCAACAGAGGAGTTAGCAACCAGAATTGACTTTTAGTTATTACACTTTGGGTTGTTTATTTCTTCTTCTCAGGAAGTTTCTAAACCTGATGTCTCAACTCAATTTGGACTCATAGTGACCCTGTATAAGCTTCTAGATACTAAAGTTTCTCTCTTGTGTCTTCAATGCTCTTACTCAGAAAATACCAATAATGATATATAATAAGGATCTCTCTCCATCTGTTCCCCTCCATTTCCCCACCACTCTCCTTTCCTTCAAGAGTAAATTTCTCTTAATTTTTAAGCTTTTGCCATATATCATCACCCACCTTCCTTCTTGGAGTTTACTGCAGGGCTTCAAACCAGTTCAATCTGGTTCTAACTGCTGCTGAGAATTTGCATCTCTAACAAGTTCTGAGGCGATGCTAATGCTGCTGGTGCTGGCTAGGGACCAATTCTCAGAACTACTAGTCGAGCAGTGGTCCTCAAAGTTTATTATACAGAAGAATCACCCGGAGATCTTGTTAAAATGTAGATTCTGGAATGGTTAGCATCACTTGGGAAATTGTTAGAAATGCAACTTCTCAGCAGGGGTTTCAACCAGGTTTGAAGTCCTGGTTTACTGCATTTAGGAATGAGATGTTGTAGGAATTGCTTCTCTGGGTGACTCTGACAATAGGAAAGAGAGGCCCCCCCTCCTTTTTTTTTTGAGATTACATCTCTCCATAGAGTAGGGTTGTTGTGGATTTTGCTTTTATATATTATTTATCCTATTTATCATCTTGTAGATAATGAATGAATGAGGAAAGAAAGAGTAAATAAATTTGCAGTATAACCTAAAGATAGCAGAATAGACCAGAAAGCCAGTGTATGACTTCAAATTTAGCACTTAACCTTTTTTTTTTGTTCTACAGAAGGTTCTCGTATGTCCCTTACCTTCTAATTCCTTGACTCATATCTTAATGTTTCTACCCTAATGTTACAGATAGATTAGTGCAACCCTCAGGTGCATTGTCAGATTCACCACATCCACACACATACTTTAACTAAAAATAAACCTAAAGAGGAAAATGAAATTCAGATGTTTCGGATGGTTCAGGACAATATCCTGAACTTTTGACAGATCTGCTGTAGGTAAAGGCTGCAGTCTGATATACTACATCAGATTCCTGACCATGGAGACTGCTGTATCTTCCAATTGGATGTAAGAAAATGAGCCGAAGACTAAAATTAAGTCTGGGCTCCACCACATATCAGTTGTATGAATTTGGGTAAAACATTTAACGTCTTTCAGTCTCAGTTTTCTCATCTACACAGTGGAGAAAATATAATATTAGTCCATTCATTTCACAATAATATTTTGATAAAGATATGAGGTTATATATATAAAATACTATATAGCTGTTCGTTGTTATTATTGATTCAACATTACAAATTATACTGGAGATTTCCATTACACTAAAAAAAAAAACTTAGATAAACCACCTCTTGTCCATTTCTGACCCATCCATCCACTCAATTTTTTCTTTCAATCATTTATACTACCTAAAAGATAAGTTCCCTCTACCTTCTCTATTTCAGAAGCTTCCCGTCTGGCTTTTAAAAAACATTCCCCTGGTATCTCTCGTGAGGTATAAATATATGGGACTACATTTATAAAAATAAATGTCTAAGTGTAGTCCCTAAAACCAATCTCTGGCATGTCTGATCACAATTTTTCACTGAAACACATTTTCACAGAACATGATGATACTACAGTTTAGAGATGGTTTCGAAAGACACACATTTTCTCCTAAACATTGGAAACACTCATTCTACTTATGTATTCCACAATTCTGTGTCTCCATTTCGGAGACCCACATTCCTTTAGTATTATTATCAAAGCCAGCGTTACCCGTGCGTTTATCACCTGTCCATTCCCCGAGGTTACATCCTGCTTTCTCTGAATTCCTACCTCTTTTTCTTAGATTATTTCCATCCCTGATATTTCCTGCTTCCACAGAGTTTTGAAATGAGAGTGTCGCGTAGGTCACTTCTTCAGACATTGTAGAAGAAAGCACTACTGTAAATTATGTAATTAATGTTTCCGTATCCTCAGGTCTGGTAACAGGATGTTCTTTTCAAGGCTGGGAGCCGTTACAGAGACACTCAACTGACCCAAGACACATCCCACTGCCCCTCTGTAAGAATAGAATGATTATCAATTTCACTGCAGAGAAAGTGAGAGAAGTCAAACATTCTTTTTAGAAATTAAAATACTATAGATCTTAAATTGTTTACCTTTTCAGTACAGTTTCTTACTGTGAAGTAAAGAAGTATGCTATTCACAATAGCCAAAAGGTGGAAACAATCTAAATGCCCATCAGCAGATGAATGGATAAACAAAATGTGATACATACATACAATGGAATACTACTCAGCCGGTAGAAGAAATGAAGTCTTGATACATGCTATAGTATGGATGGAGCTTGAAGACATTACACTGAGTGAAATAAATCAATCCCAAAAGGACAAATATTATATGATCTCACTTATATAAAAAGACAAGAAAAGGGGAATGTATAGAGATCAAAGTTTATTAGTGGTTACCAGGGGTGGCAGGGAGGGGGAAAAGAGGGTTAATAGTGATGGAAAAATTGAATTAATTAAGGGTAAGCTCTCATAGCCAATTACTGTAATTGCTGTCAATAAGTTGTACAGTTGTAAAAAGTTTAACTGGCAAAAGTTGTGTAATAGATATATTTACAACAACAATAAAAAAGAGTAGCTGCTGAAGCAAACACCAACCAAAAACTTCATGGGATTTGGTTCCTTGGTTTGGAGGTTTAGGATCATGGTTTCATGGTACACCCCAGTTAATTGACTTAATAACATGTTTAGCGCTTCTGTTCTACCTTCTAGTTCATTGTGTAGTGCCTGGGATCTTAAAAGCTTGCAAGTGGCCATCCAAGGCATACAGTTGTTCTCTACTCACCTGGAGGAACAGAAGAAGGAGAGTCAGGAATAGGAGGAGGATACAGAATGTGTAGCTAATTGCCTCCATGAACAACTGCCTCCTTTGCCATGAGACCAGAAGAACTGGATGATGCCCAGATACCATTACTGAACATTTTGATCAAAGATTTCATAGAAGAATATTTACCCAAAGGGAGAAACTGTAGTACAGAATTTCAAATTCTTGTGGACTCCAGACTTCCTGGAGCCATGGGGTAGGGGGGTGGATGAACCCCTGTAACTATTGCCCTGAGATAATCTTTAAAACTTAAACCAAAAGTATCCCCTGAAGTCTTCTTAAAATGAAACAATAGTTTAGCTTAACTAGTAAAAAAAAATCTGTCTTGAGCATTATGTTCTTTTAAAAACCATCTGTATGGATCAAATTGACAACAGCAACTCGAAAGATTAGACAGGAAACTTAGGGGGCAGTGAGTTTATGTTAATGGGGGAGGAACAACTCAGAAAAGGAGGGTGAGAATGGTTGTCCAATTTGAAGAATGTAATCAATGTCACTAAATTGTACATGTAGAAACTGTTGAACTGATATATGTTTTGTTGTGTATATTCTCATTGACTACAATGAAATAAATAAAATTATTTTAAAAAAAAAGAATATTAAGAAGGTATTCTAGGAGGCAGAACAGGCATGGTGGATTCATGGAGAACTCTCAAGATCCCCAAGGTAGAAGCTCTGAATGTTTTAGTAAAGGACCAAGTGTCTTCTTTACATGTGACAAAGGCCAGCTAATACTGGACAGAGATATGGGATCTGGTTTATACTCACCCACGTCAGACATCAAGCAGAGACACACATACTAAAACTGGAGGAACTGTGTAGTTAAAGGCCATACACCCCTGGCTGCTGTTGTAAGAAATCCAAAACTGTGTGTTTGTGTGTGTGTGAGAGAGGGAGAGGGGATAAGAGAAAGAGAGAGAGAGAAAGAGAGGTATGGTGTTGGTAATGAGGCATGGAGAAGAAATGGATAGCTATTAAAACTGTTTGTGAATGGGATTTCCCTTCTGGCATGGCTAAATTCCTACTAGAGTGATCGATCTGCAGATAACAACCAAAGACTCAGGACAAGATTTTTTAAATAACTACCTGAAGTTTCAGGAGAGTGAAAAATTGGGAAGATTCTGAAGAGAATGAGACAGGCACATAGTGAAGTATTTTTGTTTTGTTTTTGTTTATTTGGCATTTAGCTTGAGGACAGCCCACCGTCACGGTGTCCTGCAGGGCAGCTCCATCTCCAAGAGAAAACACGCAGCCTTTCAGTCCTGAAAAGTCAGAAGATGGAGTTTGGGGCAACCACAGCCACTGGGAAGTGAGGGGGTGGCCATGGAAAGGAGACAGTCAAAGAGAAGCAGCCCCAAATCCTACGTAGAAATTCTCCCCAGATACATGTCTCACCTCGAATGATGAGTGTGTGGGAGCAGACTGCAAATAAAACCAAAACCTACTGCCGTGGAGTCTATTCCAACTCATAGCGACCCTATAAGACAGAATAGAACTTCCCCATAGGATTTCCAAGGCTGTCAATCTGTACCTAAGCAGACTGCCACATCTTTCTCTTGTGGAGCTGCTGGTGGGTTTGAACTCAGCAGCCTAGTGCTTTAACCACTGTGCCACCAAGGCTCCTTAGACTGCAAATAGCCCAGCTAGAATACAAAAAACTGAACTGAGATTTAAGCTGCTTTCCAGGAGACAAAGTTTGAAGTTTGAGTCCAACCAAGTTAATTGCCTACTAAAACAAAAATAACAACATTCTTCAGAGGAATATAACAGAATTTGGTCTTCATGATATAACATGGAATGCAGGAGGAGTTAGCATCATAGAACCTATAGACATTAAAAGGTAAAATGAATACGTTACGAACAAATTTATGCCAAAAAAAAAAAAAAAATCAGCGTAGATGAAATAAAAAATTCATTGAATTGTATTCAACTTTCCAAAGTTAGCAGAAGTTGAAACAAAAAATCTGAATAGCCCTATATTTATTCAAGAAATTTAATTTGTTTTCAAAATCTCCTGCAAGAAAACTTTAGGCAAAAATGTCTTCAGTGATGAATTCTGTCAAATGATTAGAGAAGAAATAATACTAATCTTACACAAACTTTTTAAGAAAATACGTATCAATATAAACATATCACTCACAAACCTCATGTCATTTTATGAGGTTAGGATAACCATAGTACAAAATGTTTCACAGACATTGCAAGAAAACCAAAATGAAAGGCCAATATCTCTCATGAATAGAAACACAAAAATTCTTAACAAAATATCAGTAAATGAAATCTAGGAATACATGAAAATGGTAACGATAAAGTAGAGTTTATCCCAGGGAAGAAGGTTTGTTTAACATTAAAAAAATTACTCAGAAAAAAGAAGAAAGTTATATAATGAGTTTATTAGATGAACAGAAAATTCTACACCCATGTATGAGAAATTTTCGGTAAATTAGGAGTAGACTGTAACGTTCCAAATCTGATGAAAGGTATCTACGAAAAACCTTTAACTCTCTCTGTCTATAAATATATATACATACATATATAAATGTTTGTCTTGATTCTTCACATTAAATATTAACTCATAGATAAATCATGGAAATCTTACTAAATGTTACAGAGCAGAATGCTATCACTTTAAATAAGGTTAAAAATAAATTTAATATAAAGGGAGAAGTAAATATGGGCTAGGAGAGGTTATAGAAATGATGTTCAGAGTACTATTATCATCACCTGCCTTAGAATAGACATTGCCTAAAACTGATTAAACCAGAAGTAGAAGTATACAGCATGACTGTGGTTGAGGGAACATTAATAGTGACATAGTGAACATTCTTCCCCTAAAATCAGGAACAAAGACAGGATGTCAACTCTATGTTTATTCGAATTGTGTTGGAGATCCTAAGCAGTACAAGAAGGCAATAAAAATAAAGACAACAGAGATTAGAAATGAAGAAATCAACAATCTCTAGTTCCAGATGAAGTGCTTTTTTATTGAAAATCTGTGGGAATCTACAAAACAACTCCAAAACTAATAAATAAAATTAAAAGTATCACAGGATACGATCTTAATATACAAATATTCATTGTTTTTTCTATATCTGCAGTAAACAACTGGAAACAAAATATTTAAAAAAAATCAATTTGCATACTGCAAAAAGCATAAAACACTTAGAAAAAATATAACAAAATATTTGCAAGACCGCTACACAGAAAACTACAAAACATTGTTGAGCATAATTAAAGAAGTCTTGCATAAATGAAGACATATACTATGTTAATGAATTAGAAAAATGGTACTGTCAAAATACCAGTTTTCCTCAAATTTATCTGTATATTCAACTCAATTTCAATAACAATCCTAGACTTAAAAAAGTAGACATGCAGATTTTAAAATTAGTACGGAAATGCAAAGGATCTAAAATATTTAAAACAATCTTTTTTAAAATAACAAAATTGGAGCACTTATACAATCTGACATCAAGAATTACTATAAACCTTCAGTATTCAGGACAGTGGGGTACTGGCATAAAAATTAACAAATAAATCAGTGGAACAGAACAGGGCCCACAGACAGACCCCCCTACACACGTACACAAAAGGAGCCCTCATGGTGCAATGGTTAAGCGCTCGGCTGCTAACCAAAAGATTGGCAGTTTGAACCCACCAGCCGTTCCGTAGGAGAAAAGACTTGGCGATCTGCTCCCATAAAGGTTACGGTCATAAAGATTACAGCCTAGAAAACTTTATGGGGCAGTTCTACTCTGTCTTATAGGGTCCCTGTGAGTCAAAACTGACTCGACAACACGTAATAATAATACACACATATTCATATGTTCGTATTATTTTCAGCCAAGGTGCCAAAGCAAGCCAATGGAGAAAGGAAAGTATCTTCAACGAATAGTGTTGGAATAATAGATACCCATATGGAATACCGGATATGGGGGCTGTTCAGATTGTTTTTATACCCTGAAATCTCTATGAATCCCCCAATCTGCCCTAATCCCATAACACCCTCTAACCTCAAACCCATGAATTGTACTTTCCGGATCTTACAGGCAATCTTCAGCAAACTTCACTATATTTGTCTCATTCTCTTCTCTGTAAACTCCCTTCACCTTGTTGCTATAACTGAAGTC